ACGAAATTCAAACTATAAAGGGAAGACCCCGGCTGCTCCACATCGGACCCGTACTATTATCTCCCGGCACCCGCAACCTCTATAATAGGCTTGAGCATTCTCCCGACCCCCCGCCCAACACAAAACATCTTAAAAAAATACAAGAATCGAGAGAGAGACGATCGATAATCGAATCAGATTTATTTTGATATTCTTTCATGGTTTCTCTGTAAGAGTTTTTGATTTTGTTTCTTAAAATTTCTAGGAGTAATTTTTCATCGTTTTTTTCAAAACAATTTCTCTTAAAACATTTTCTTTCTTCAACGTTCCCAAATTACATCTTCAAAAATCTTTAGTCTTCTAAATAACTTACGCCTTTCTTTCTTCAAAATTTTTTAAAATTTCAAAAAAAATTTAAATGAATAAAAAACTGTGGCAAAGGGGTCGCCAGTGACGTGGGAAAATTATGACAACTTTTTCGGTTCCATTATGGGTTTTTAAAATTTTCTAAATAAATGTGTGCTTTACAATGGGAAAGGCGAGCCGCACACGACATTTGAAAGGTACATTTAAATTTTTACTGAGTTCCGTGTTTTTTTAAAATGTTTTTTGATTGGATTATGTGTGGAAAATGATGCCTTTTAAAAAATTTAAAAATAAAAGTTCCAAAATTTGCCTTTTAGTGAAAAGTTTAAAAATTGTGTCAAAAAGTAGGTGTTTTACCCGAGTTAAAACAATTAAACCACAAAAGGGAAAATGAACCGCAAGTTTCATTTTAAAAATTTAAAGAAACGAAAACGCTTTTGGGGTTTGTGTACACAAAAATTAAATTATTTTGTTTCCTTGCATATTTTTTAGGATTCTAGTACATTTTAAACTGATTGGGGATTTTCAGATTTAAATAATTTCACCCACAAAAAGCAGGGCCCATACGAAAAAAATCTGGACCCCTGCTTAAAAATTAAATATTTTTGGAAAATGTCGTTTTGAAATGAGTATCAACAGTCATTTTCGATTTGATTTAAGGCAAATGTAAGCGATCGCAATGAAACATTTTTCAAAGGGTGATCGATGTTGTTTGCTTTGGAAAAACTTTTTGCGAAAAACAATTCTTAGCTTTTGCCCGGGCCGATGATCAGTATCGCGTTAAACATTGGGAATTATTTAGAAATATAGATTTATTACCCAAGTTATCTTATCAGGGTAATTTGGGGGTTATAGCTCAATGAAAAGAAGATTTGCGTAGTAACAACTTTTTAATGCGATTTTTAAAAAATTTAAAAACAATTGGGAAAGGGTAAAAATCAAAAACTAAGGGAATAAACAAAATTATATTTTGTGTCGAATACCGGGGCGATTTAGTACCGCCTCAAAGGTGCTAAAGTAATAGGAAAAAATCCACAAGCTGTGAAATTAAGGTCAGGCGAAACATATTCCCCCCCGTTTTTAAAATCCCGACTTTTAACCTTCAACAAATGTTCAGTAACGGGAGCGGGCCGAGACGCGTGAAGGATCTTCGAAGCTTCCTCTGGTTGTTGGCGTCAGCAAAACGACAACCCACAGGTCCAGGAAAGAGCCTTGTAATCGTCCCAAACGCCACAAAAAGGGCGAGATTCTCTTCATGCAGCAAGACTAAGTCCCCAAGGATGCCCTTTGTCTTTTGCGCCATTTTGATCTTTGCTGCCCCAAATTTTCATTCCCATCTTCCCCAAAAGTGCTGCCCCGGATTTGTTCTAGCTTTTATAACCCCTAAATTGGTAGTTTGCGTCGCGAAATTTGGTGAAGATAGTGTATAAAGCCGACCACTCAAAAAGGCCCCGGGGTGGTTTTGCCATTACATGTCTAATAGGGAAATTTGGGGCCAAACAAACCCCCGGCCTCCGATTCCCCCAAATTTTACAGCGTAAGGAGGGGAGAAGAGAAAATTAATCGCTTTTCACTCGTAAACCCCTTTATTGCTTCACGATTTCTTTAAAAAAATTTTCGATTTCTTTGGGGGGGCTACAAAATTTCTCCATTGCCAAAAATCTCAACAGGCTTTCCCCGGCGGGGAAAAAAACGTCTTTGAGAAGAAAAAAGCGTCGAGAAGATCGCTCATGTTCCAATAAAACATTTGTATCTTAAAATACGAAAAAAGCCTAAATAGCATTTTTGAAGTACGTGAAAAGCGCCCTTTCCTATTTAACAAAAAAGGGTCCCCCCAAAATCTATCCCCCCACTGCGAAAGGAAAGCCACCGTAACAGTTCTGAAAGGGAAGTTTCCCCATTAAGGGAGACAAAGTCTTGCCTTGTATCCCTCACATAACGCAATTTTGCACGGTTCGCCTTGCGGTCGCCCACCCTTTTTGGGCCATAGTATTTCTGACACCGCAAGTAGAAGTTTAGGGTCGGCATGCAGCTAAAAGCAAATGCTCACGCTCGAAATGAGTTTAGTGAGATGAGAGAGGATGTAACAAAAAAGGGTGTTTCCCACAAAGGACAGAGAAGATGCATCTAAACGGCCACCTACTGTATTAAACCCCTTTTGGTCAACGAAAAAGGTTTAAAAGCTAAAAAGACGGATCGCGACTGGGGCTTATTTTTAATCAATTATTTTTACTCATGTGAAAGGATTTCCCGCGTGCTAAAAGACTAGCAGGGCGAAAAAGTTACGCCTCTTTGCACTGAGTGCTCCTAAACGCTTAGACTTAGGGTTTTCGTACGTAATGGGTGAACGCAACGCGTAGGGTATACCTTTTTTCCCAACCAATGTTAAAACTATCAAAATTTTACAATTGGTATAGGGGGTTTCGGTACGGAATATATGATTTCAATTCGGGAAACACCTCATGGATTTAAATTTTGGACAAGTAGCCAAGACCCTTTTTTAAGAGTAAAAAAAACCGGGGCCTGACCACCAAAATTTATACCTCAATTCCTTGGGGTACACACCCCGTGAAAAAGACCCCGGGGTTTTTCCCCAGAAGGGCATAGCGCCAAAGAAAGGGGGCTTTCTTCTAGAATTTCCCAAATTTTTTGACTCGTATGCATCCCCGAAATACTACGTGGAGTCACACCAATGATATCGCGTCTATAGGAAGTCGAGAGACTCAAAAACTACCCGCATATCGAACTCAAACGGGAGGATAACTCCAATCGTGGTATCGGGGGACAAGGGGTTTTACGGGGCCACCCTTTGATTAGAGCATAAAAGATGCACATGAACATTACCTGCGGCGTCAACAGACCTTATATATGTACATGCGCCGTAGCTCTTTGAGAGGCATCACTGAAAGTATGAAGTTCAGTTACAATGGGCGAGTCACATATAGAGGATTCGATCCCGGGATCCCGGATTCAGGATCCCGGGACCCCGGTCATATTTTAGTCCTGAAATTTTCGGGATCAAATTTAATGAATCCCGGGTTTTTTTCGGGATTGATACTTTTTTTTACATAAGTCAATAAATATGGTAAGAAGAAAACGCACTTGCCTTGATTTGACTTTTTGACAGCCATCTTGTCTACACAGCTGATTCTTTGTTTTTGCTAATGACCGGTTCTGGATTATGCGTAAAGGGGTGTATTTATAAAGTTTCTATCTATAAATATTGATCTTTTAAGCATTTAGTTTTTTTTTTATAGTTTATCTAAATAAGTCTAAAGAAGTTGATTTCTTGAAGTTTTTTGTTAGTTTTCATAAATTATTTACCGAAACACAAAACAAACTAGGCACTGGTTTGTTTATTTTAAAAGAAGAATGTATAATTTTTGTTTAACCGTTTTTTTGGAGTTTTAAAAACTTAAATATTCTATGTCCTCACCAAAACAAATGATAAACAAAAAAAAATTGATATGTTTTACTGTCTTTTTGTTACCACTTTCCATTGCCAAATAAAATTATATATTAACTGTAGATAATCCCGAAATCCCGGATTATAAAATAGACCGGGATCGAATCCTCTAGTCCATAAGACTCGTCTCGGTAAGCTTATTAAAGATAGATGAGATAGACTATTATAAAATTTACACAATTTACACATAAATTTACATTTATTAAAATTTTCAGGTAGAGGATTATCCCATCCTATTTTGTCGAGCCATAATTGCTGCATGATTAATTTGGGAATAATAATACAGGGGCTGATAACCCTAGCGGGTCAAATATTTTAAAGGACGTGATAATATGTATCTCTTAGAAATATTATCATCGTTAGGCGTGAATTCAAAAGATTAGTGCAAACAATCCGTCCTGAGTCCCACCCAATCCAAGAGCGTTTGGGCCGATTCGCTTATAATAAAAGCATCAGAGGAGGCTTAATGGAATTTGTTTTATATTTACGTAAATTAAAACAGCCTCCCCTTAAGGTCTCCGAGACAGATTTTTTGAATTTGTATTAATTCGGTCTCAGAATTACAGCCGGTTATAATATCATCAGCATATGTATCATGCTGTATAATAGCCTTAGTTAAAGGATCCTCGCACTCCTCCCCCAACTGCCAAAGACACCTTGTATTTAAATTAAATAACTGGCACTTGCAAACCCGTAAGTGACAGTGTTCAGTTGTAAGGTTCGTAGGGGCTGATGCTCTGGCTTCTCTCCACAGGATAAGTTGAATTTTCCGATCAGACTCGTGCACCATAATTGACGGTACATTTTTTCCACATCTGTGGTCAGAATATACTGATAGGGGCGAGCCCTGATTAATATGGAGAAAAGTGAATCTTGAATCTGGCGGCCCTATCATTTGCAATCATTGACAGAAAGTCCGGAGGATGTGGGTGCTGAAGCTTCGAACACTATCTCATTTTAGTTGTCTCACTGTTTTGTTTAAAAACAGGGTGATAGGTAGAAAATAATATAAATTAGATATAGGTTGATTTAAGTAATTTCAGATAAGTGCCCTAAGCGCTCATACTCTCTGATAAATTCAATATATTGAGACTTTACTTCCGGTTGTTTCCTAAATCGTTTCTCTAAAAATTTTAGAACCTTTTCTTGGACCGGCAGGCCGCTGCGCTTGGAGGCACCACTCTGGTACTTCGGTTCCGAATTCACCCTGGAATGTTCGGCAGGATAATCACTATAGGGCTATCACTATTACGCACAATAATTGTCAGAGTTGGTAATAGCAAATGCAATAATAATACTGTTAAATTATTCTTCTAAAATTAAAGGAAATCCGCTTCCTTTAATTGTTTAATTTGTGACACATTACGGGAGTGCAGGTAATTAAAAGCTGAGTTGATGATGATTAAAGAGAAAGTATCGTGGGCTTCCAAAACTGACAAATGTAAACAAGGAGGCAAAAATAGCTGGGAGGAGCGTATGTAAAACAAAGAAAAATCAAACTAACTTCGCACACGTTAAGCATGTAAATAAACGTAGATATTAGCTGGTTATAGTGGATTATGAGGGTCCAATGGAGGGGAATATGGCATAAGGAATGGCACTTAGCTGCAATGATCTGCTGCGCTGCGGTCTGACGCTGTACTTAGATACGTCGCGTCACTACCCGGCGATATACTGAGTTTCCTCGTTATTTTTTGTAAATGTTTGCTGACCGGTTCCAGTTTTAATGGGGCTTCGTCACCCTTGATATTCTTAGAAAATTTTGGGGTCCTGTCACGGTCGCCAATATGTATCTTATCGAGGATACATTTGGAGCTTAGTAGCTCAATGAAAAGAAGATTTGCTGTAGTAACAACGATTTAATGCGATTTAAAAATTTATAAAAACAAGTAGGAAGGATAACAGCGTAAATGGTTCTTTTTATATTGACAAATCAAAAAACTAAGGAAACAAACAAAATTATTATTTTTTGTCGAACTACCGACGATTTAGTACCGCCTGACAGGTGCTAAACTATTAGGACAAATCCACAATACTGTGAAATTAAGGTCAGGCTCAAACACCAATATGTCGGGGACCCGGGACTATGTCGGGGCACCAGGGACTTCCTTCTAGGGTATACCTGGTTTTCCCCGGTATTGTACCCGAGACGGCGTGCGGTTTTAGTCGGTTCGAGTTCGACATGCCACCGACAGGTGGTATCCGAGGGGATTTCCGCACGGAAAAAAAAAAAAAAAAAAGGCGCAAACACCAAGTATGTGGAGTTTTAGAAACCCATCTACAAAGTGCAAGTACCCCATTCAAGGGAATGTCGAACCGTACGCAGAATGATTTGATCTCGAGCGTTGATCTGTGTGATCGATCGCGTTAAAGCCGAAATTAAACAGTCCGATTTTTTCGCCGTCATGGTAGATGAGACTCCTGATGTTAGGGCCGTGAACAATTAGTATTAGTTTGAGATATTTTTGTGATTCTGAAGTAGTAGATCGATTTATCAAAAATGTTGATGTCAGCGCGGATCGGACCGCTGTAACCTTGAGTTCTATAATTTTTGGGAAATTTTTTGAAGAGTTCGATTGTTATCCAAATTAGTTGCACAACTTAGGATGGGGCAGCAGTTTTTATCCTCACAAAATTAATGGCATGAGGCTTTGGTGAGACAAAAATGTCCACAAGCTATGTACGTTTGGTGTTCAGCACATATATTAAATTTAGTTTTATCGAAATCGTTCGAACGAGTTGCTGAAACAAAACGCTTTTTTAGTATTATAACAAACAAACCCGTACAAAAGCGAATGACCCATTACAACAACTTTACCCATATAAAAGCTGCCTCG